ATAGGTTGAGTAGGAATGAGTATGCAACCTCGTTTTCGGATTAAATGTATCGTTTTCTGCACGGCATTTTAAACCGTCGGGTGTGGTTCTAACGGGATAGACGAGTCGTTGACGGTGGGATATGTGGGATATGTGGTGGGGAGGAGTTCGGCTTTTCATGTAGTATACTTTTGTGATGGGACTGAGGATGTCAAGGGGTGGTTAAATAGGGTGATAAATAGGATAGGGAGGTAAAGGAATTTCATTGTAATGAAAAGCATTAAATTCTCGACGTGGGGGTGGGAGGAACGGTAATCAGCGCAGTGGGATACATATGGCAGATTATATCTATATAGTGTGGGGATTGCGGGGCAAACAGGTTACTGAGGTGAAGAGGAGGGAGTTTAGCGTTAACGTTCTCTAAAACGGTATTAGAAAAAAAGGAAATTTATGGGAGTGAGGGTGGTGAAGGATTTTTCAGAGGGTATAGTTCAACTTACGTTACAGGTTTTAATTAGACTTGTAATATACGATGGAGGGGAGGTATGAATTGGAAAGAGTTGCTGGGGTATGGAAGTCAGGGTGAAAACAGGGTAGCCTCCCTGGTACTGGATAACAAAAGTCTTGCGAGAGTGTGGATGAGTGAGCATGAGTGATAAAATTGACCACGGGTGCTTAGCACCTGTGGAGCTGGCCATTTTTTGTGTGACAGGACTTTATACTTATTATACATATTTGTAGTGGTAATATTGATTTACGTGTAATGACATTGTAATTTTGGAGATTTTGCTATAATAATTGCATGGTTCTTTGTCCTCCAACTTGTTTTTTCTAGGTGCCTTTGCACTGCATAGAGTTGATGCTGTGATCATGCACGGTGTCCAGAAATATATGTGATATGTTTGTATTATGTCTGTGCATTATAGGTTCGTCAACTGGTGTTCTCAATTTCAGTTTTGTTTTGAGAGAAAAGAGGTTAATGCACGTCAGATAGTGTAAATAAAGTTGGGCAACAGTGGGTTATAGGTTTTTGTGGTAGGTGCGTGCTAGGCACAGTCCTTATTTAAATATTATTATTAAAGATTAAGCCGGTATTCTCCCGTCCCGGGCCTTTTCAATGTGGCCCGGCCTTGGCTCCCTCTTTAATGGATTGCTGAGACCTTAATACTCCATGGGAGAGGCACAAGTACCTCCTCATCTATGGGACCATCTGTCCCCAGGCCTACCAACAAGCTAGGCCCTCTCTGAATCTGCCATCCCCTCCCCAAAGGGGGGCTAATGGAATGACATCATACGAGCTAAAGGCTCGGGCACAGGCACCACCCTACCCTAGAAGTCCAGGTCATATTCGCTGCCTACCAATGTCCGAGAGTGAAGGATGTGCGCTGCACCCCTCTGCTGTTCAGGCGAGCTACTTGTATCAACATGGCGCTGAAGTGTGGGAGGAGGCGCTGTAAATACCATAGTATTGAGCTGCTCGTGGGGCGATTTCACCCTCTTCAGTGCAAGTCTTACTCCCAACAATCATTAGGAGACCTATGGAATCCAGACGATGAGGTGTATGGTGTAGCTCTGAATGGGGCTTATAGAATCTTCGACAAACTGAATTCCAAGTCCCGTGTATGAGTCTTTGGTGACGAGGTCCAAGACGTTAGTCTTGACGCTACTGCAGCGTGAAGGTGCTTTGATCGACGTATCTCGCCACTTTTCGTGGTTAAGATAAAAAAGGGGGGAAAAAAAAAAAAAAAACGTAACGTCACCTTTTGAGGCGATGAGGCTGACATAAGGAGTGTTTTTGAACATATGGAACCGTACATTCTGGCACAAAAGGCAAGTGGAACGGCAGGTGCTTACATGGGACGTCCGAGGGTAAACCTTTTCCCTGAAGATGAATCTGAGACATCCCATACCGTCTTACGTCGTGTGGAGACTTCAGGACGCAAGTTATGGTATCGTATGCCGGACAGAGACGTACTTGCAGAATATGTGGGCGAACACCATATAGGCGGCCAGAGTGGTGAAGGCTGAGGAGGGCGCCAGCGCAAACCTGAGAAGCACCAGTTACCAGCGTGATAGCTGTTGAGAGCCCAGTGCGCAAAGCAAGGCCTGGGCGCTCGTGGAGTGAAGAGGTGGAGATTACCAAAGATGAGAATGCATTGTGTGAGGTAAGCTGTATGAAAAGGATCTGTTTACTACTCACAGGAAAATACAGAAGTGCAAGTGCAGGAGGAGGCAGCAGGCTCTCTAGGAAGAGCATCAGGAATGATAAGGACAATGACACCGCCCTGCAGTGGACGTTGTTCCAGAGCTGGTGAGAGACACGGCGGTGCCTGAAGAGGAAATGTAAGGATAAAAAACCATAGCAGGGTTGAACGGCCAGCAACTCTTAAGAGAGAGTTGTCGCCGAGTGCCTGTGGTACGTGGCGTGGTGTAGGTAGAGGTTCAATCGTGATGGAACCTCTGAAGAATAACAATGGAAGTGGAGGCATCACGAGTAAGAAGCGGCGGCGTCAGACTCAGGATGAAGTCTGACGCCCGGCGCAGAGTGTCTGGAGGAAGGAAGAGCAATGTCGAAGCAGTCCCGATAAAGCATCCAAAAAAGGGGGAGGGGGTTGATGGAGTGAGCCTGTGCTGGCTCTGGGGCAGAGGCCCTGGATGAAAGAAGAGAAGGAAGGGTTGGAAACTAAAAAGAGGCCTTAGGTGTATGACGTTGACGTAAATGGCTGTGTAATAGTGGTGAAAAGTAATGGTTTTCCGAATGTTTCTGTATAAATATATGGTTTGGATGTAGTGTTCCTTGCAAGAACACAATTTCAAGGAGGGAAAGTGCTCGAGGTGGAGGGTTTCAGGTCATGACTCTTCCATCTGCACGTCTGAAAGTGTTGGAGTGATTATGGTATATGATCAGGGAGGCAAGCCCGTTTGTGTAGCTAAGAAGTGAGGGGGGGGGGAGGGGGAAGATAAAGCGCGTGGATGGGTGGTGGACACATTACAGCTTGGAGGACGTATCCTTTCGGGTGATTTTGTGTGAATATGGCCACCAGCGAAAATGATGTGAGAGGTAAAAAGGGATTTTGTATGTGAAGAACGAGTTTCTTCTTCGTGGTTTACCTGCATGGCCATCGTTGTGGCGACTGCACTGCCGGTATTAGGAGGGCTGACGTGTGAACCAAAAGGGCGGGCACTTGTCGGCGGCCTTGCGAGATCTTTTGAGATATTCAGTTGCTGGATTGCGTGGAGGAGGGGTGTGAGGTGAGGTAGAGGCACACTTTTGTAAGACGGGGTTACGCGCTAGGTTAGGGAGAGGCTGTATATAATCCTCAAGGGTTGGTTGACATTTTCCCGTACAATAGAGTAGCTTATCGGATCAATCGGGCCGTAGTAGCAAGGAGGCGTAGGAGTCACTAGCAGGTATATCTGAGTGGAGAATATTGGAAATTAAATACAAGTGTGTTAGGTGAGAGGAGGGGGATAGAGGGATTTGCGACGCCTGTGTGGGAGGGGTTACGTGCAGAGATAAAAGGGTAGAGGATTGGTGATGTGGTGGAAGGTGTGGCTAAAGAACGATTAACAATATTTCGTAAAGGAAGGGAAACGTATCAATTCTTTAAAATAAGGGCTTGCTAACTATTTGGGAGGATGAGAATACGGGGTTGTTATGCAGGGGGGCTGTGGCGGGGCACTTATCCAATGGATGAAATTAATGGCAATTAAAGGGAGGCTGCGTGAGGTACAGGATGAGAGGGTTCCAAAGCGTGAGGGTACAGGCGGGGTGAAGAGGTGTTAATGGGGCGATAGAACCTTCACGTGCGTATATCGTAAGGCAGAAACGAAGAACATCAGCAATGACTATTTCCATGGTTGGAGGTTCATGAATCGATAGGAGGGTACAGGGAGGGGCAGGTCATACAAGCTACGGAAGGAATGGGGCGTTGCTGACAAGTGGTATGAGAAGTACTGGGCAACGAGAAGGGTATAGGATGGGGTATTAGAACAGTTGATGTGGGAGTGTGGTATGTCATTGCGTACAGTGATAGGGCAGCACTGGGTGGCAAATAACGAGGGGAATATGTGAGGGCTTTTAAGTGGAATTGGCGAAAGGGCAAAGCCAACCGGGAATATGAGGACTTCCCGTAGAGTATATATTCAGCAGCAATGGGAACTATTGAGCATTTTCTGGTCAGGTTATTAAATTGCATGAAGGAGAGAGGTGAAGGTGAGAGCAGCAACTGGCTGTCGTTGTATTGGTAGCCGAAGGTAAGGGGCAGCATACACTTCGGGATTACCGGGCAATCTCTTTGTATGCGTCAGATTATAAATTGTTTGCGAAGATTTTGGGAAATCCGGTCCAGTGTGTGGTAGTGCGGGAGTAACAAAAACTCAGTTTAGGTTTAGCCAGGGATCTATGGTGGAGGGGCATGGTTTACTAGTGATTCGTGGAGGCAAAAGGGGGGGGGGAGGGAGGGAGGTTTGGAGTCGCTCGATTGGCAGGGGCATACGATAGAGTGGAACGGAAAGCAATGAAAGCCATCCTCCAGGGGTCAGGGGTTTGGGAGAAATAGTGTGGCTGGGTTGACAGGCGTTGTAGTTGAGGTGCAATGGCGAGGGTAACAGATTAATGTCGATTTGGGTGGAAGATTGTAATGGTAGGGGACCTTAGGCAGGGGGTGTCCTATAGTCACAATATTTGTTTGCAAGCGTATCAGTACCCCTTTAATAGATTGATGGAGCAGCAATGTGTCAAGAGATGGACCAGTGTGAGGTTGCGAGGGTATGGGCCATTTATTAATTGTATGTCACTGGACAAGTACTAAAGTGATACTGACAGCCGTGTGGGGGCTCGTACTTTGAACCCAAGACCGATATGCTCCCGTGGAACCCACAAGTGCTTCCCGTCTCCTGTGGGGAGTATACTAATCATATCTTTTTCTCAACCTTGGAGTATATGGTAATTTTTCCTCCAAGTAGGATGAACCAAAAGGTTTCTGTATTTAAAAAGAATACAACGAGTATGAACCTGAACCGTCTCAGCTTTGCGTGAACCTCCATCACTGTTGGAGGACCAACATGAACGGTCATCAATGCTCAAGAAACAAGTCTTGAAGCATCTTCCCCGCTCAGAGATTCACACTCAGCCTCATCATCGAGGTTGGTGTGCATATCAGATTCGGTCCAAGGAACCCGCATATATCATATATAATTGATCCTATGAAGTAACATTAATTTCCACAGAACAGCCATTAACCTCACTAACCAAGACTGATGAATTATTTTAAAAGCTGATGTTTTTAGTAATATTAATAATATATAAAATATTACATTTTATCTATGAAATGCTATAAAGTGAATATCTTTGCATTTTATATGTAGTCAAATATATGAAAAAAATGTCAAAAAATCTTATTTATATACGAATATATTGAAAATATGATCTGTGTAAAAAGTTAAAAAAAACTGGATATCATTCTTACTTTAATAAACATCACAAATTATTTTACTAGAGACCATAAAGAAGCAGAACCAAACACAACAATAAATAACAATCAACACTCCAGCAAACTAACAATAATACATAAACTATAAAGAAAGGTTATGATCTCACCCCCAAATAGTTACCAACTAGTGTTTTTTATAATTTTAGTTAAAACTTCATGTACAAATATACATATGTACATATAACAATATTGTAACATTGACACTGGTGGATGCAACAAACATTCACTACACAATCAACTGAATAAACACATACATAAGACATTATAATAAAATGAATCAAACCTATAGACTGGTTCTATCTACCTACGTATCGTTGTTTTGAACAAGTACACACAAAGTTCATTCGACTGCGTCTACGTACTTGCTTCACAAGTACACAAGGTTCAATTAGGAAATTGTCTGCATCGCTATTGGGCGTGGCAGACCCCTTGCCTGACGCTCCTCATAAACCTGACAGCAGTGGTACTAGGAGGTGTTGTGCATTCGCTGTCTGGATGAGGTAGAGTGCGGACGTGCTTTTGCACCCCTCTACTGTTTCCCAGAAGAGCTAATCATTCAACGACATGGCGCCCAGGTGTTCGCATAGAGTGAATACTGTGGGGATTGACCTTATAGTGGGGCTTTAACCACCTACGTCAGACGATGTGTTATTGCCCAAAAATTATACGAGAGACATATGGCATCAGAGACGAGGATTTAATATGGAAGTGGCACTGAACGGTGTATATCGAATTTCGTGAAAGTGCTAAACTGCTCAAGTATACAGGCTTTGGTTATCGTTACCAAGATGTCTGCATTACTGTAACACCGGCAGTGAGGGTCAAGTTGATTGATGTCTCACGACATTATTCGTGGGTAAGCTCCGCAACGTGCCTTTTGAGGCTGATGAGGTAGATATTCGAAATGTTTTTCGACGTTATGGAACTTACATCTGGCCCAACCTGGCAAATGGGGTAAAAGGTGATTACACAGGATTTCCTGAGGGTTCTTTAATCTCAATGACGCATAGTCATCCTAAACCCTCTTATGAAAATCTCGAAGAGTTTAGAACCCAGGTAATGGTACGTAAGCGGGGCAAGAGGCTTACGTGGCCGACTGTGTGGCGCATTTGAACATATGGCGGCAGACTGTGGCAAGCGAGTAATGGATCCTGTCCGCAAGGGGCGGAGCACCTGCGCATAGCACCCAATGCCCTAAGGAAGAACGGGGGCTAGGAGAGGGCGTGGTCCATGTGAGTGAAAGGTAGGCTTTCCCTCCAGTGAATCCGCAGAATGTGATCCATGACTCACCTGCCCATCAAGCAGTGGCCCTGGGCCGGCAAAGGGCGGAGCACCTGAGCATGAGCACCCAGATGCCTAAAGAAGAACGGTGCAAGGAGGAGGGCGTGGTCGCATTGTGGAGTGAAGTGGTGGTGGCTCCTCCTGGGGATTCGAAGAAGTGTGTGATCCATGAATCACCTGGCCCATCAACAGTACAGTGTGACAAGTGAGGAGTACAGGAGGGCGCAGGCAGTGAAGCTATTGAGGAGATTGGAGCGGTGATACAGGCAATGTTACAGTCCTAACTACGAGGGGAGAGTTTACAGCGAACAAGAACCCTGGGATCAGGTAGAAGGTGTGTGTGGGGAAGGGGAGGAGCAGGTGGCACCTGTGTGGACAGTGCAGTGCCATGGAGGTGCATGGAAGGCGGATTAAGGGTGGTATAGTTGGAAGTCCATTTGTGCTGGCTTCCCACGACTCAGATATGGAAACTGAGGGAGCTACAAGGAAAAGGCAGCAGCGTCAGATTCGACGATGTTCTGACTAACCGCACAAAGGCCGGGGAAAAAGACATGGGTTCTGGTGCCCCAAGAGTGAACTCTGCGAGAGGAGGGGCCACAACAAAGGGGAGGGGGAATGGTTGGGAAGGAGGGGGGAAAATGTGGCCGAAAGGCACATCCAGGAGGGAACAGTCCTGAAAGGGAAGAATCTTGACATAGGCGGGGAAGGAAACCTAAGCTGGCCTCAGGTGTTTAACAAATAATATTAATGGTCTGTGTGATGGGTGTTAAACGAGTGTTCAGGAATGTTTTTGAATAGTATAAGGGTTTTGACGTAGCTATTGTGCAGGAGCACAATTTTAAGCTTGGTCGTGATAGTGGTCCCTGGGTATCAGGCTTATGTGTTGCGGTCCTGAGGCGTTTAAAAGGAGATGGGTGTGTGATCAGGGAGGCGGGCCCTTTTGTATTGCCTAGGAAAGAGGGGGGGGATGGGGAGAGTATTACGTGTTGGAAAAGATTGGTTGATGGAGAGAGAGAGGCTTTTGTGTGTGTGTATGCCCCAGCAGAAAGTGACGTGAAAGTGAAGATGGATTTTGTGCAGGATGAGCTCGTGTATTACCTACCACAGTTACCAGTCTGTCGCGATTGTGTGGGGATTGGAAATTGTGTAATTAAGAAGACAGACGTGGAACCCAGAGGATCGGGAATATTTTTCCTCAGTCTTGGGGCCTGCTTAGAGCTCTTCAGTTACGTGATGCATTCGGGGGAGGTCCATTGGAGTGGAACATACGTTTATAAAAGGGGAATATGCGGCTCGTTTTGGACAGGTATATTTATCACGAGGGTTTTGGTTAGAGTCTTTTAAAACTATAGAAATGGTGTCTACCGATCATAGGACGTATTCTAATGGAGGGTGGGATGGATGCATTGGCTCGAGGCAGGAAGTTATTGGAAACTGAACAGATGGTTTTGGGGGATAGGGAGGGAGTGTGAAAGCGTTTGCCCAATATTTTGGAAACAGCTCTGTGCCGAACAGAAGAACAGAGGAAGACGTGGTAGGATTGAGGGATAGTGTGGCTAAGTACGAATTACGTCATTTTTTTTATGTGAGGGAGCAAACTGCATTAATCATTGAGGTATGGCTTGTCAAATTACTTACACTAGTTACGGAATTGTTTACGAGGGGGGCGGTGGCCGTGGGTTAGCCGGTGGAGGATATAACAATGTTGAATGACAGATAACGGGATTTGCCAAGAAGAAAGTTTGCAGCTGTACGGGTACAGCGGGGTTAGACGAAGCACTACACTGGGGTGACAACCATAAGCTATGTGTGCTGCGAGACAGAAGGTCACAGCGAACGACTCAATACCAGGTTTTTGCAAAGTGCAATTCTTCTTGGGGGGTTTAGAAGAGGGTCATATTAAGGGACACGACAAGGGGATGAGTGCATATGCAGATAATGGTTTGAGGAATACGGGAAAAGTATGGGGTGGATGTGAGGTTCTGGACGGTATTTGAGTTAATGTGCCTTGCAACCTGGGAGAGTTATCGGAGGCACTGGGTGGGGTCATTGGAGGAGGGGGAATATGGAGAAGCCTTATGGACATGAGAAGGGTAAGGACACCCGGGATTGCGATGGTTTACCTATCGAATTTTATTACATCACTGGGGACTGCTTAGGGGTTTTCCTAGTAATGTTAATGAATGCCATGAAAGACGGAGGAAAGATGGGAGAATCTCAGGCAAAACGGCGGTGGTGTGTTGGACCCAAAGGGTAAACCGTCAGAGTACCCTTTCGGGATTATCGAGCCATTTCATTGTCTTTGTGCTGATTAGAAATTATTTTGCGAAAATTCTTGGAATCGGCATAAATGGTTGTGGGAGGGTCAGGGTTATGAGTCTACATTTTGGTTACCTGGTAGGTCAATGAACGTGGGCCACGGGATTATATCAAAGGGGTTCCCTGGAGACATGAAAGGGAAAGAGGAGCGTTGGTGAGCGTTGATTGGCAAGGGCCTTAAATAGGGTGGAAAGAAAGGCTTTGAGGGAGTATTCTCCTACGACAGGGGTTTGGTGACGAAAAAGTGGGCTGGGTTGAGGCGTTGTATGGAGGTGCAATGGCGAGGGTACAGATTAATGGTCGATTGGGTGGGAAGATTGTAATGGGTAGGGGACTTAGGCAGGGGTTCCTATGTCACAATTATTGTTTGCGTGCGTACAGGACCCCTTTTATAGATTGATGGAGCAGCGTATGGGTCACGTAGAGGGACCAGGGTGTGAGGTTGCGAGGGTTTGGCCAGTTTTAATTGGGTATGTGGGATGATACAACTGTTCTGATCAGGGAGGGGATGTCAATGGACACAGTAGACGGGTAGTACAAATGTTCGCAGGGGGAACTGGTTTTGAGGGTAAATTCAGAATAATCCATGTGTCATGGGGTTAGGAGCTTGGGCGGGTAGGGTGATTGGGGTAGTGAAGTTGTGAGGAGGCAGGGCATTCGTTTAAAAATCTGCGGTCTATTTATGGCAGACGATCTACTGGTGGCACGCATTTGGAAAACTCGCTGGATGGTAGAAGGATTCAGGGACGCTTGGGTGCATTGCGGACCTTAATTCATTTGACCCTTGTGCAGCGTGGCCATTGTTGTTATTTTCTTAACTGATATAGCAAAGTATGGCACGTGGGGCAGCCGTTGTTCCCATTAAACTGGGCGCCCCCGGGCTATAACGAACATACTTAGGAAAGGTTTTTTAAATTTCTTGTGGGGTTCGAGCTGTGATGGGATTAATTAAGAGGATGTGGTAATGTTACCGGTAAGTAAGGAGTGGATGGTGATTGATGGACTTAAAGCAGAGGGTCAAAATGTGTCTTCATTAAAAGGGAGGTGATGAGGTAAGTGTGGGTGGGGGGGGTTGGGCCAGGATCTCATAACAGATTGCAAAGGATGTATACAGGAGTTGAGTTTGCA